ATCTCGAGCAAATCAAATAATTCTCCTCGAACAAATCGAATATCTCCACGGATCAATCAAATATGCTCCACGGATAAATCAAATAATGCTCCTCGAATAATTTAAATATCCTCCTCAAATAAATCAAATAATCCCGCGAATAAATCCAATAATTCCTCAAATAAATCAAATAGGCTCCACGGATAAATCAAATAATACTCCGCAAATAAATCCAATAATACTTTACAAATAAATCCAATAATACTCCCCAAATAAATTCAATAATTCCCACCAATTTAAAAATCCCTTGATCCATAATTTAAATGGATGTCATACCTTCACCACTGTAAAATTACCTTGAGTTACCTCCCGAAATAGTATTCGGCTCGAGTCGGGGCTGTTGAACCATTCTGGGTCGGTTTAGACCGATTCTGGACCATCTAGACCGGTCTGGTAACATGCTGGTCGGATTTCCCTTCGCTGGGCCGAGCTGAGATGCTTCTCGGCTGAAGGACTGTCGTTGGGCCGAGAAGAGCAAGGTTTAGGCTGCAGAAATGGGCCGCGCTGAATAGATAGATGTCGCGGGCTCTGGTGGGCTCTTCGCGGGCCAGAAGCGGGCCAGAACAGGTGGGAGATGCGGGTTGCGGTCAGGCTGGTATCAGGCCTACACCCGGGTTGTCTTGGTAAGAATTGCGGGCTGCGTGGACTGGACGCGGGTTGCTCCTTTGCTTACTCCTCTGCTGGGCTGCAACACGTGGGCCTTGCGCGACGTGGGCTGCTCGCTGACGGGCTTCCTTCTTGCTGGACCACGCACATTGGGCCCAATGTGCTGGGACATGGACTGCATCGAGCTGCTCACCGGTCTGCCCGATCCATGCTTTTACTCCGACGGAAAGAGCTGCAAAAATGTTGTCGAAAAATGTCGCCGTCTCCGGCGAATGCGATCGGTCGTGCGCTCGCCCCGGTGAGGTGGTCCCGATGGTGCCGTCGGTTCGACGTGATTCGACGGAAATCGGCCGGAAAATGGAGAAGGTGACCGGTGTGGACCAAAAAATTTCTTAGATTCAAAAATATTGACCGGCCTTGTAATTTTCGCTTGATATTTTAAGGGTAGAACGAGCATAAGAAGAGCTTCGTGATGATGTAAAGATTTTCTCGATCGGAGGATTCTTCGTGGTGGCCGGCGGCAGAGGCGGTGGCGCCGGCAGAGGTCACATGATGGAGACTCATCTCGACGAGAGGATTCCAATGGTGCTCTCAGATTTATCATAGCCCTCGCGGATCGCCTGAAAAACACATTTAAAGGTCGAATGTTGACCAATATTCCTTAGATCCGGAAAGTTTGACCGACCAAATCGAAGGCATTCCAAGATGAATTTTCGCACGAAACTTTAAGGAGAGATTCACCTCGAAGAGATCTACCCGTTGACATAAACGATTTTACGATCCGAGCACTTTGGCCGGCTAAGTCGAAGGAGAATTTTCGTAATTTTTCGATCGGAACTCCATTTGGCTTTTCGAGCGAGGTCCCACAGACGGCGCCAATGAAGTGAATAATATTTTACTCGGGCTCCTTCGACTTGGATGGCCTCCGTACCGACAAGAACCCAACGCCGGGAGGGGTCCTAGCGTCGGGCTTCCGACGCTCAAGTCGAAATCACTCCAAATCTCAAGTGTAGTAATGAATGTAGAGAGAATGAGAGAATGAGATACCTTAGCCCCCTTTTATTGGGGGAGTGTACCTTATGGCCAAAGTTGGGCTTGTCCAATAGCATCATGCCACGTGTCCTAGCCATGTGTAGGCTTATTCTTCATTATTTTCCCTTTTTATCCATTAAAACTGGTCTAGTATATAATATCCTATATCATCTAGTCCCCCCACTCTGGTCGAGTAAGCATGACTCGATCCAAGAGTAAAATTCTTCTTCGGGCTATTTCCGTCAACCTGCCACTGAAGTTATAATTTGGATAAATCATCGACCACCAAATAGTCACCAAGGCTGAGGAGGAGTTGGAAGGAGTTTGGCAGATGTTCGTGGATGGCTAGGTGTCAAAGGCCGGAGGTGGTTTGGGCATTATTGATTTCGCCCAAAGGAGATAGCCTGGAGTTTGCAGTCAAAGTCGGGTATCGAGAATCAGATTCAAGTACATTCTGATTCTCAATTGGTGGTCGGCCAGTTCCAGGAGGATTTTGAGATAAAGGAGGAGAAGATGCAGAGGTATGTGGAGGAGATGAAGAAGTTGCAAGAGGAGTTTAGCTTATTCGAGCTAGTTCAGTACCTCGGGGGGAGAATGGTCGGGCAGATCTGTTATCTAAAATAGCACATAATTTGGTCGATTGTAAGAGCAGGAATGTAACTTTACTCCATATGGAGAAAAGTGTGGTCGAAGGGGAGGTGATAGAGATAGAGGAGGTCGATGATTAGAGAGCCTCGATAATAAAGGAGTTGAGAGAAGGAGGGGTGAAAGTGATGAGGAGATTTTTCGAGCATGGAGGGATGTTATACAAGAGGTCGTATGCAGGACCTCACTTGAGATGTGTTACACGGAAGGAAGGCCGATATGTGTTAAGGGAGACTCATGAGGGGTGCTGTAGTGATCATAGCAAGGCGGGATCCTTGGTGGCTAAGATATTGAGGGCAGGTTATTTCTGGCCGACCATGAATGAGGATGCGAACGTGATGGTGAGGAAATGCTTGCAATGCCAAAAACATGGTCCACTTATTCATCAACCAGTCGAGGCAATGATAATGATGAGCGCTCCTATCCCATTTGCGCAATGGGGTGTCGATCTGGTGGGGCCAATGCCACAAGGAACTGGGCAAAGAAAATTCTTGATCGCGGCGGTGGACTATTTTACAAAATGGGTAGAGACCGAACCATTGGCCAAGATCACGGAGGATAAAGTCATACAATTTTTATATAACAATATTTGTTGCAGGTTTGGTGTCCCAAAGGTTTTGGTGTCCGACAATGGAACACAATTCAATGGCAAGCAGATTCGAGCATGGTGTGAGGACATGAAGATCGAGCAACATTTTGCATCGGTAGCTCATCCGCAAGCCAATGGGCAAGTCGAGGTGACCAACAGGATCATATTGAATGGCCTCAAAACAATGTTGGAGAAGGCGTCGGGATCATGGGTCGATGAGCTTACTTTAGTACTCTGGGTATACTGAACAACGCTCAGGTCGACAACAGGGGAAAGACCATTCAGTCTGGTTTATGGCATGGAGGCACTACTGCCAGTTGAGGTCGAGGTGCAGTCTCAGAGATCGAGTACATATGATCAAGAACAAAATGAAAACCTGATGATGGCAGCCCTTGACACAATTGAAGAACTTCGGGAACGAGCTTCGATCAGGGTCGAGGCATACAAACAGAGGATGCGAGCAGCACACGACAAGAAAGTGAAAGTCAGAAGATTCCAAGTGGGTGACCTGGTCTGGAAAAGGGTCGACGTGCTAAAACATGTTGGGAAGCTGGAACCAAACTGGGAGAGACCATACTTGGTCGAAAAAGTCCATGCCGGAGGAGCATACTCGCTCAAAGATGCTGAAGGAAGGTCACTCCCCAGGTCATGGAATGTGGCTAACTTGAAGAGATATTATGCTTAAATTTTTTATTTTCCAAAAAAAAATCAGAAAATAATATAATCGACTTTCCTACTTTTGATTAATGAAACTTCATTTGCATGCACCATAATTTGTTCGCATACCGATTTATTATACTTGGAGTATTTGGAGTAACCTCAGTGGCAGGTTGCGTGAAGTAAAATCCATCATGATTAAGGCCGAAAGGCTGGATGGTTGCATGTTTCGACCACCTCTATAAAGGTGGGCATGTGTTCAAGGGAGTAAAATCCATCATGATTAAAGCCGAAAGGCTGGAAGGTCGCATGCTTCGACCACCTCATTAAAGGTGGGCATGTGTTCAAGGGAGTAAAATCCATCATGATTAAGGCTGAAAGGCTGGATGGTCGCATGTTTCGACCACCTTAGCAAAGGTGGGCATGTGTTCAAGGGAGTAAAATCCATCATGATTAAAGCCGAAAGGCTGGATGGTCGCATGTTTCAACCACCTCTGTAAAGGTCGGCATGTGTTCAAGGGAGTAAAATCCATCATGATTAAGGCCAAAAGGCTGGATGGTCGCATGTTTCGACGACCTCTGTAAAGGTGGGCATGTGTTCAAGGGAGTAAAATCCATCATGATTAAGGCCGAAAAGATGGATGGTCGCATGTTTTGACCACCTCTGTAAAGGTGGACATGTGTTTAAGGGAGTAAAATCCGTCTTGATTAAGGCTGAAAGGCTGGATGGTCGTATGCTTCGACCACCTCTGTTAAGGTGGGCATGTGTTCAAGGGAGTAAAATCCATCATGATTAAGATCGAAAGGCTGGATTGTCGCATGCTTCGACCACCTCTGTAAAGGTGGGCATGTGTTCAAGGGAGTAAAATCTATCATGATTAAGGCCGAAAGGCTGGATGGTCGCATGTTTCGAACACCTTTGTAACGGTGGCCATGTGTTCAAGGGAGTAAAATCCATCATGATTAAGGCCGAAATGCTAGATGGTCGCATGTTTCGACCACCTCTGTAAAGCTGGGCATGTGTTCAAGGGAGTAAAATCTATCATGATTAAGGCCGAAAGGCTGGATGGTCGCACGTTTCGACCACCTCTGTAAAGGTGGACATGTGTTCAAGCGAGTCAAATCCATCATGATTAAAGCCGAAAGGCTGGATGGTCGCATATTTCGATCACCTCTGTAAAGGTGGACATGTACTTAATGGTGTAAAATCAACCAAACTAAAGGCGTAAGCTAGATCGTTGAGAGGTGTGGGATCGATGTGGTGTGACAGAACAAGTTCATAAACAATGAAAACAATATACGGGGTGAAATAACAACATTCAAACGAGCGGGGAAATAATAAGAAAATCCAACAAACATCAACAAAAATAACATTCATTCATTTAAAAAAAAAAAGAATACAAGTTCAACCAAAAGTAAATTACTACATCTATCAAGGAGCGGGAATATTAGGATTCGAAGAGGCTTGCTCGGTATTGGCATTGGTATCGAGAGGAGTTTGTTCGGGAGTTGACTTCGGCGGGTGCTCAAGTTGTTGACTCGAGCCAGACGTGGACTCGGCCATGTCCGATTACGGTCGCTGGTGGATAGATTCGGACATGGCCCGCCTCATGGAAGTCGGAGGAGTCACCAAGTAGGGCAGTGTCAAGTTCTTCTTCCGAGTATCATCTTGATTCACAGTACGCTCGAGGAGGCCCGACCACCACTTGTAATCAAGCGGTAAGTCGAGATTGCTCTGGAAGCCAGCTGGAGCCTTGGGTAGAGCGTCCCAGATAGCCTCCACGTTGAACTCCTTGAAGTCGTCCTCGGCTATCTGTTCACCTGCTTTCTGCACTTCTGCACCTCCTTTAGATATTGTGGTGAATGCTTGAAGGCAGTCACCACTTGATCGCGGTACTCTTGGAGGTAATGCTGGCCGGCAGTGGTATGCCACACCATCTAGCGAGCTCGGAGAGCAGCTTGGTCGACCAACCACTTTTTCTGCTGCTCGAAAGCAGTCTTCTCGCGCTCCCGAGCCGCCTTGTTCGCCTCGAGCGTAGCCTCGAGAGCCTTTTTCTCCACTTGTTCAGCCGCGAGCGCCTCCTCGAAGGCCTTCATGGCCCCTTCGAGGGTTTCCTTCTCAGCCTCCAGGGCCTTTCTCTGCACCGTTTCATCCTTCAGCCTCTCACGAAGCTCGTGACACCGATATGTGAGATCGTCTAGCTTATTCCGGAATAGGAAGGACCCCTGCTCGATCGAGGGCATGGACTGGCTGGCACTAGACAGGCCTGTTCGATCAGGGGAGCTAGTTCGACCATTCCTGAATTCACAAATAAATGAAAGCGGACATACATCAGCGACCAAAGCAATAAATTGAGAAAAATAATACTAATGGTTCGAAAAGTTACCTGTGCTAGCCACTTAGCGATACGATCACCTCGGTCATGGAGGGTGGTATCGTCATCGCGGAGATCTTGGGAAGGAAGAACTTCGTTAAGAAAGGATGATACTTCTGCGCCGCTGCCATTGGTCAGCAAAAGGATAGAGGGACGTGTGACGTCAGTCGTCTCCTCTTTCCGCAGAAGTTTATTCTGCCCCTCACTTTCTTCGGTGAGGGGACGTTTGAGTGAGGCCTCCGCAATAATAAGTGGGTTCAGGGAGGCAGGATTTTTAGTTGAGGGTGTGACCAAGTTGAGAGGGGTAGACAGAGGTTGCTGTTCTTTGACCACGAGTATGGTCTAGCCAACAAGAGGTGATTTTGTTTGCTGGTCTTCTGGACGAGACGAAGACAATGGCTCTTTGGTGGGCCGGGTGGTCGAGGAAGGAAAAGATTGCGTCTCCAGAATCGGTTTTGGGGCTGGTCTTGTGATAGGTGTCTCTTGGATATCAGCCTCCATGGAGGAAATGGACTGGTCGGGTTGTGAGGTGGTCGAGTCAGAAGGCTTCGAGCTCGATCCCTGATTTGGCTTCTTTTTGAGAGGGACTTTTCTCTTGGGCAGCGGAACTGCATGCATCTCTGGAAAAGAATTAAAAAAACAAGTTAATATTACAACAAACAATGTACACTCAAAGATAAACACAACAATGCTCGAGCACATTGAATAAAGGTTACCTGGATCGCCCACAACTCGAATGAGTCAAGGATTTCTTTGGTAGGTGGAGACAGTGACTTATGGGTACAAAGACCGCAAAAGTGCAAAAGATTGTCATCTTCAAGAAGGGTTTTGGAGACGACTGGTTTAGAATTCCAAACAGCAATGCGCTGCTCAAAAAGTGGTTCATACTTCGGATTTTCGAGCTCAAAAGGGAGTATCGTAAGCCAATAAGTGGGGGACCACATGAAATGGGTGTCGAGCTCGACATACACGAATTTTTTTTCCACTTTGGGCAATTAGAAGGAGTGTCAGAGATGAAGTGGACACCGTTGCGGCTTTTTAGCTAAAGCCCTTGGGCTGTTTTGTGGGTGTGTAGTAGTAATGGAAAAAACTTAAGTCGAATCGACCTAAGTGAATATGGGAAAGGATGATGAAGACGGTGATGAAGCGAATAGCATTTGGGGGAAGTTGATTTAGAGGAAGGCCGAACAAATCACAGATGTCGATTAGGTCTTGGCACAAAGGAAAACGAATCTTAAGTTTAAATTAGCCTCGAAGAAGGTATAGTTATTTTCTAAGGGGTGGTCGTAGGTGGCATAGGAGTGAGGAGAGGTGAAGCCCCAGCCAGAGGGATGACCGACATCGTCGACCTCTAACCACCCTACGACTAGGGGAGAAGAGGCCCTCCTAGAGGAGGAGGCCTTGGTCGACTTCTTCTTGGGTGTTGATTTGGATGTGGCGGCGGTCGAAGATTGAAATTTGGACTTAGAGGTGGCGGCTGTTTTGGGCGTGCTCGAGAATGGGAGTTTAGAGAAGACAGAATGACGAGACAAGGGAATATGGTCCTCGTTTACCTAACAAGCTAACTCGGCGGCATCTAGAGTCGCCTCCGCCTCATTAGAGGCACCAAAGGTAGGTCGACGAGATTGAGGTGAAGAAGAAGGGGCCGAATAATCAGAAGGGCGAAGCACGTTGAGGGGAACAACATCATAGGTCTCCTCGACGGAGTTAGAAGAAGAGTGAGGTATGGGTCGGCGAATTGAAGACGATGACGTGGTGGTCATGTCCTTGATGGAATAACGGTCGTTCTCGCTGGAAGTAGCAGAATCTGAAAGCAAGGGACAAACAAATAAAAAGGACAAATTTTAGGGTTTTCAAGGAAAACGAAGAAGAAAAAGGGGAAAAATTCCACAGTCGGAGTATAGAACGATATTTCCAAAAGGGAGCATCAACAGGAAAATTTAAAAGTAGGAAAAACACACAAGCACAAATTGAAAGAACAGAGAACTTACTCATTATCTCAGTGGAGAGAAGGTCGCCGGAAAGCTTGAAGACGATGAAACTAAAAACGCCGAGAGCAAGAAAACTTAATTTGCAAGGAGAAAATTAGGGCACAAGAGAATTGGAGATTCGCAAAGGTGAGAAAATCGAAAAAATTTCTAAGTAGGGATATTTATATGAATAAAGAGAAGATAAGGTGAAGAGTTGGTGAAGATAGCCGTTGGAATAAAGTGAAATCTAACGGCTGGGAGAATTTAAGGGGCGCGGATAATGAAGCGGTGCGAATCGCGAAGAGACATGATGATTGAGGTACTGGGCAAACAGGACGCGTGGCAGAATAAAGTTGGATTAATAATGAAGGGAAACGAGGGGCGGTTGTAAATTACCACAAAACCAATTAAGTGGTCGAAGAATAGAGACAAAACTGGCCAGGTGGTCGAGGTGCCAATAAACCGAGGAGGCCAGCACAAGCTCACTCTTATATCGAGTCATTTAGACTCAACCAGAGTGGGTGGCTAGATGATATGGGATTTTATATACCTAAAGGAATAAACCTGTTCACTACGCCAGTCGTACGAGTCTAATATCAGAAATGTCACGCTGGTCAAGCAATAGCAGGCTGAAAGGTAGTGGTCGAATGTTAGGGCAGATCTGGTCGAAGATCGACCTACTGATTGAGAGATCATCTGCTCCTAGGGCAGGTATCTCACCCCTATATATGTGGGTGAGCCTTTCCTGTTACGGACGATTTATCCATTTTTACTCTTGAGAAATTGAATGAAACACATACTGACTCAAGCATCGGAAGCTCTTCACCGGAAAACCCCTCTGGTGTTAGAGTTCTTTGCAGGTACGCGACGTTCTACCGGTGAGGAGGAGGAAGACGAGCCGTTTTCAAGTCGATTGGAGTGTTTTGAGTTACCACCATGCTAAAGCAATAATTAATTAGCATGCATAATTATTCATACAATTCTAAATTAATCTCATGCAAAAGCAATAATTAATTGACATGCATAAATAATAAATTCTTAATTGGCATAATAAGTTTAAATAAGTGAATCCACTATTAGGACCATTAATTATTGAGTCTCCTTAAACAAGTAAACCTTATAAGTTTCTTTCGTTATCCAACTGGAACTCCCACTGCAATAGAATCCTGATAGATATTGTACTGCTTGTCCACCAAGTAAAAACCACCTCCACCAGCCTTAGCCGTCGGTGGTTGGAAAAATCACCGGCGGAATATTTTTTTTTTTCTTTTCGAGAGAGTCGCTTAGGCCCGGTTCCAACCGGGTCTTCGAGGTTCGTCAATCTTTGTGATCTCCCGGTCATCAACACACGATCGCAACATAAAAAATATAATTTACAAAATTACATAATTCGATCCTAGATCCGACGAATGGATGTACATGTTTTCTAAATAAATAATTAATTCTATCCGGCCAACCCCCGAGCTTATAATTATTACAAACATTCATCCATTAATTCCTCGACATGTCTGAGGATTTAAAAATAAATTTAAAACCATACATCACATTCAACAACATTCATCAAACACAAAATCGGCCATAATAGTTGGATTAACTAATTCTTGCAAAATTGAGTTATGCGAATTTAATCCAATATATATGGCTACGTTTGAACACATCTTGTCAAATAAAGCCATAAAAATTCGAACCTTGTACAAAACGAATTAACCAGTTGCTCTGATACCACTTTGTTGGGATCTATGAGGATCTCGTTATGTACAAACTTAAACCTATGCGTAGGGGATCTAAAGGTTTGACGTAGAAAACTTACGGCTTAAAATTTCTGAATTTGTCTGATTTGGGATGACTGGGAACAACACACGAATGAAAGCTAGATCACACGAACGGAAGCAAGGTCGGCTTGTCGCGTGGATCGGGTTGTAATAGCCCAATTTTGTATTAATAAAAATGACAGTTTTTAGTTTCAAGTTGAACTATTTCTTTTTATTAATATTGCTCTTCTTGAGTTCAGAGCCCAGTTATCAGCTATTAATTCCAGTCCATTTATTTTTAGTAATGGATTTTATTCAGATGGAATTAATTATTCAAGTTGACGAATAATCGAAACTGAGTATGTTTCGATAAATTGTCCAAGTCTACCCGTGTCCGGAACCAAGTCGCTCGGTCACGACTATCGCGCCTAGTTCGCGCCTAGCCATTTCTCGAGCCCTAGTCCCGAGTCTTGTTCGAGCCCTAGCCGTGCTCATAGCCTTACTTAGAATATTTTCTAAGTATTAGTCGATCTTTTATCGAGCCCTAGATAAGTCCCTTGGTCGAAGGAAACCGCACCTAGCATTGTGCGTGACCCCAAGATTTCTCGCGCCAAGGGTTCGCGAGTCGAGCCATGCCGAGAAGGTCTTACTGTAGCCGGGAGTTAATGGGATTTTTCTAAGTATTTTGGAGCTCCTAAGCCATCCCTAAGGATGTGCAATACACGACCCAAGGACCATGTGCACCGAGCCCAAGCATTGTGCGCGCCTTGCCCGAGTGCGAGTGCCCAAGTTGTGCCGAGATGGCCCTAGTCATGGCCAAGTTTCATAAAACTTTTCTAAGTATTTTTGGGCTCATTAACCAGCCATCATTAAGCCTTGGAGAGTTAGCAATGCTTGGGCCAAGATGTGGTGCATTTTCAACCCGCGCCCAGGGCAAGGGCCGCGCAGCCTAGCAGTGCCGCGCCAGTCCAGGGCCGCGTGCAGCCCAGCGCGCCTAGGCCCAGCGCCAGCAGCGGCAGGTCCACTTCTTGAGCCCAATTCTTGAAGTTTCGGCCCACTTTCCTCAAGACCCAAATGTTGCGGTTATTAAGGACTTAATGAGGATTAATTTGAGCTAAGATGGCCCTAAGAAAGTATTAAGAATAATCAATAGTCCTTAGCCTAAGTTAGTGGTGTGCACGTGTGATTATTTTAATCTAATGTGTAAGGGATTGTCTCCCACTCATGACCAGACGTGACCTAACTTATTCCCTCAGCATTTGTGCCCTGAGAAGATCTCCAAAAACCGTGCAAGATGCTGCCCATCAGCTCCCAAGTCCCTATGTGCATGTGGAGTGGGAAAATGCACTCAGTTTGTTCTCCCACCATCCCACCTAGCTAACTCCGCCCCTCAGCCTATAAAAGTCACTGTCCAGCCCCTTTGCAGCTCTTGGACTCATAAACACTCGGACATATTAAGAGAAATCAAAGGGAAACTCGAACTCAACTCACCTTGGCCGTCCGTACGCGCGCGAGCCCGGGAAAGGGAGCCACCGAGGTCCAACAACTTGCAGCCATTTTCTCTCGAGGCTTAGCACTTTCTAAGTGCTTCTTAGATTTTTCTAAGTCTTTTGAGACCATCAAAGCTCAGAATTTTTGCCCCAAAGTCGAGGCCAAGTCCCAAGGGCCGCGAGTTAGCCCGTGTAGTAGCCTTAGCACCATTTCATTCTTGGTGAAAGGTAAACTCGTGTTTATCATTTTTCCTAGCTTTATAATGATAAAATAAGAATTATCATGTTGAAAAGTGATGCCATGCATGTTCATAATATGGAGTTCCGAATTTTTGAAGTTTAGCCCTTTAAATTCGAATTTTATGATGCACGCATGAGTTGGCCGAGATTAGTAGCTTAAAAATCCT